TATAAAACAAAAATTATAAATGAACTGGAACTTCAAATTTAGTAATTTTATCCCAAACCTTAAAATATTTAAATTTATTAATCGAGATTTTAACCCGATCAACACTTAAAAAAAATTCTCTTTCCCAAATTGTAAACTGTTAAATACAAAAACAAAAATCATAAATAAAATAAAATAAAATAAAAATCTAATCTCTAGATTGAATTTGTATTAGGATTAGGATTATCGAACGCGCAGACGCGTGACGCGTCTCCGTACAACGCCAGGTTCCAGCCGCCTTCCTTGTTCGAAACTATTTAATTTAATACGCAGAATCAGCAAAACGCCAATATACGATTAACTGAAAGCTAGGGTTCTACTGTTCCTAATTTTGCTCCAGGTACTTACTTATCTTTCCTTCGTCTTTTCTTTTCGAATTTTCATGTTTAATTCTTCCCCTTTGATTACTTCAAAATATCAAATCACAGTTTGTTTTAATTGTGGGGTGCAGAAAGTAGGGATCTTTTTCTCGATTTTATTTTATTTTATTTTTTCCTTGTTTTTGAGGTTTTAGCTGCTAATTGATTGACTCTGTTGATTTCAATTGTATCCACACGTGTTAGATACGTTATTCGGTAATCCCGTTTTGATTATGGACTTTCCCCTGAGAATCTGCATCTGGAAATTTGGAGTCCATGGAAGAAAATTTTGTGTGGAATAGAAACCCCTTTTAGCTTCTGGGGTAAATGGGTAATGTAATCTTTTTCTTTCTATTTCTCTCATCAGTGAAGTAAGCATATAGGCAGGGATCTTAATTGACCTACTAAAATCATGTTTTACCATAAAAAGGTTGTAATGAATTGAGGGTAATATCATAAATGGTGGTTTGACCTCATGGACAAGATGGATTGGGATCATCAAACTTGTATTAATGTACCCTTTCTAATCTGTTATTTCTCCTGGTTTATTAACTAATTCCACTTGATAGTAAACTTCAACTAACATGTTAATTCAAGTTTTTCTGCAACTCCTAAACAGTGAAAATATCATCTTTCTTCAACTCAATAAGATTTGATTTCATGTGTCATTATTTTAATTCAAATGCGCCCATATTTCTGCAGATTGAGGTTTACATATCAAAGAGAGTGCAAAAGCACGCTTGGCTTCTTGAGTGTATGGCAGCAATGGGAGCTCCATCACCTGGGGATCTGAGATGTTCAACTAGTGTGCATGTGTTGGAAGAGCCTCCATCCACTACTCGCAAGTGGTACTTTAGCTGTCAAGAAATTGAGGAATGTTCCCCGTCCAGGAAGGATGGCATCAACCTGGAGAAAGAGGCCCATTTGCGGAAGTCATACTGCTCATTTCTTCAAACACTTGGGGTGAAGCTAAATATGTAAGTGTATGATAGTATTTATTGTGTGTTTTTTATTTATGTGATAAGAATAAGACAGTAGTTTTTCCATTTTTTCACTTTTGAAGTTTATTTCACGGTGCATCTTTCAAATTATTATTTCAGGTAGTCTTATAGTATTTTTCAAAACTCAATTCTCTTAGTGGTTGTTGTGTTCCAGGGGATAAATAATACGAACATGGCCATAGAATAAATAAGATATTACAAGTTTACAAACCTCCTCAGTGGCACCAACAGTGAAAGACTTTTAAGAGAGGTTTTATGAAAATCATTTGAAGTTGTGATGCTCTTTGATTATTCCTTGTTGCAGTCAAATCATGCATTGGGGCATACAAATCTATTTGCTTATGTTTTTATCCATGCTTCACATTAACCTCTCATTGGAGTTTTTGGGAGTATTATACCACTTGATGAGAGGGTAAATGATTATCTCCGATTTACAGGCCTCAAGTGGCAATAGCATGTGCAATGATGTTGTGCCACCGTTTTTTTATGCGTCAATCTCATGCGAAGAATGATTGGCAGGTGAATTTCAAGTTGTTCTTCTTTTAAGCTTCCGCTCTTCTTTTCTAACTTTTTATATGTTGGATTTCCCTAATCAGATATCCTCTGCAGCTTCATTTAGGATAGCTGTAATGCCTTCTTATAGTGAGAAATTATGAACATTATATTATTGAGTACTATTTCTGTTGTTTTTCATCTTTATAAGAAAATATTTCTTAAAATTATTTATTTTGGGTTACCAAAAGTGCACATTAGAGAACTTTTTAATATTATTTTGTTGTTTCATTTTTATCCAATTAAAATGCTTCATATTCCTAAGCGCAATATGGTACATTTTGCAGACAATTGCAACTGTGGGCATTTTTCTTGCTGGCAAGGTAGAGGAAACACCACGCCTGCTGCAGGATGTTGTTACTGTGGCTTATGAGATGATTTATCATTGGGACCCTTCTGCTCCACGAAAAATCAGACAAAGGGTATCCAGTTGTGCTTTTTCTCAGTATTTGGTCTAAACATTTTTCTTTTTATTCTGCATGCTGATTTTTAATGCATTTCCTGTGTAGGAGGTTTATGTTAAGCAGAAAGAATTGATTGTAGTTGGGGAGAGACTTCTATTGGCAACAATTGCATATGATCTCAATATCGAACTCCCATATAAGCCACTTGTTGCAGCATTAAAGAGATTAAAGATTCATCCAGACCTTCCAAAAATAGCTTGGAATTTCATAAATGATTGGTAAGAATTATCCTTTCTAATCAAGATT